CGATCAAGTTTATATATAAGGGTTGAATGAGATACCTTGTCAAATGCCTTGCTGAAATCAGTGTAAATCACGTCCGTTCGAAGATTGTTTTTAAACCCATTAGACACATAAGTAGTGAATTCAAGAAGATTGGATACAGTTGATTTACCTTTGCAAAAACCGTGTTGCGATAGATCAATAGCAGAAGTAATAGAGTGAGATAGTTCTTCCGTAACGATTGCCTCAAAAACTTTAGCAATAGCACAAAGCTTCGCAATTCCTCTATAGTTTACGATGTTAGTCCTACTTCCATTTTTATAAAGTGGCAAGATAAACGAATCCTTCCAGGAAGATGGGAAGACACCCTGTTTTAGGGAAGCATTAAAAATATTTGCCAGAGGCTTATACAAATACTCTGCCAGAGGCTTATACAAATACTCTGAGAGGCTTATACAAATATTTATGTTTGGTTTAATTTAATTTTTCTTGATTTTCTTTTATTTTTTAGTTTTTTATTGTTTTATACATATGTATACTTTTTTCAATTTATATTATGTATATTATGGGGCATATTCTGGTTTTTGTACGAATCGAAAATCATGAATAATTTTCTATACAGAAATTTAAAATTTTTGATTCGTGTGAAAACAAGAATACCTCTATATGTCTTGTAATTTAATTTAATCTTAAAAAACCTTATTGCTAAAACGCTAAGACTTCCTCGTTAGCAAATATTTAAATTTCTCTTTCGAAAAACAGTAAAGAGCTTTCAAGATGGTTGCCAGTATGGACAATTTTCTTACGAAAGAATTGTCCTGTAAATTCCTACATCGCGTCATAAAATCTAAAAATTTAAAGAAAATTTTATTAAAAAAGAAAAAATAAAATAAATAAAAATATGTAAACTAAGTTCTTAAAAATTAAATGCAATTAACCAAAATATACATTTTGCTTTCTTAAAGAATAAAATCTAAAAATTCAATTTAAAAAAATAAATAAGTTTCTAAAAATTATATGAAATAAAAAAATAAATAAATATTTTGATTTTTAAAACAATAAAATCTAAAACTTAAATTAAAATAAGTAAATAAATCAGTTTCTAAAAATTAGAAAGAAAGAAAAAAAATATACATTAATATTTTGCTTTTTAAAACAATAAAAACTAAAAATGAAATTAAAAATAAATAACAAAGTTTGAAAAAATTAAATTCAATTAGAAAAATATGTATTTTGCTTTTAAAAGAATAAAATCTAAAAACTAAATTAAAAAATTAAATGTTTCTAAAAATTAAATGAAATTTTAAATAATTATTATGCCTTTTCAATCAAAAAAATTTAAAAACTAGATTAAAAAAGTAAATAAATAAGTTTCTAAAAATTGGATGAAATAAATATATATATATATATATATATATGTAAATATGTAAATATTTTGCTTTTTAAAAGAATAAAACCTAAAATTAAAAGTAAATCAAATTAAATAAGTTAATAGTAAACAAAATATTTTTAAAACAAGCTTTCTAAATATGAACGAAATCGGACTTGAATACGGGGCATACCAAATACCAGCAGGATTTCTTGTGAAGTTATTTCTTTTCGTGCAAGGCAGCTTTGTGATATTCCTCATCGTACCTGTCGGTATTTCGGGCTCGCTGAAATTCGACTACTTCTACAACACCGGTACTTGATGAGCGGGAAATGTGGTTCCGCTGCTCGCATATTTCAGTTTGTTAAATAGTGTTCTCTGAGAGCAGATGTGAAAGTAGAGTGGAAAATAGATGGACAATCTGCTGTGATTGAAGCTTTTCGACGTTGAACTTTCCCTGCGTCATTGGACGTTTTGTCGTATAGGCTGAATTTTCCGATGGTTGCATTAAAGACCCTTTGCTTGCCCTCCCTGGCAAGCACCCTTAGAAGAGTTACGAGGCAACTTACTTAATTTTGTATAAAAATTGATTTATTTACGAGGGTTAAGCGGTTACGAAGCATTTTCGCGTTTCCATGAATATCCATTGAGTTTTTTATAAATAAAATTAGTTTTTAAAAATATTTATTAAAAAAATCACCTCAGCTGATATAATATTTTAAACTCAAGAGGACTGCATAGGTTAGGATAGGTTAAACGAGCAGCTCTAAAAAGAGTTCGGCGGGAGCCGCAAAGGCCCATTACGAAGCCCATGAACCATTTTGATTCTCTGGCGAATCCTATCAGTCCATTAAGTGGACCCCAAGGTATCCAGGCTTTCGATGACATGGTCTCCAAGAAATTTGAGATGCTTTGCTCGGAGTGATGAGCATTCTGGACGGAGTGCTGGAGTGCTGGACGGATTCAATCTCCTCCTCATCTCAGCAGCTTCTGCAGAAATCGTCACACGGGGCTCCGAACCTCACGGCCATGTGGCCAATGGTCCAGTGTCCCGTTAGTATTACCGCGAGAAGCCTAACGTTTGGCTTCGAAAGCCTTAATAAACTTCTCCGTTCGTTAGGCCGTGGTTGGTGGCTGACCGTGTAAGTCTCACTACTTCTGAAGACAGAAATCTCAGGGGAGGTTTTACGATATGGTTCGCTTCCTCAAATTCCCATCTCAGAACTTTTTGTAGCACATTCTTCCGCTTCCTCATTTCCTGGGACACCACTATGTTTCGGGACCCAGCAGAGATTGATTTTGTGTTGCTGTGCAGCTTGCAGGCATCTTCAGCATTCCTTAACGCATATTGACTTAGTCGCTGATGACCCTAAGGCTTTTATGGCAGCATGACTGGCAACATCGAAGGTAAATTTAGATGGCGATAGGTCGATCGTGTCACCAGCCTTGCCACCATATCAATTGCATATATCTGAGCTTGGAAATCAGTGCAATGGTCTGGGAGTCTATAGGACTCTCTCAGAGATAACGCCTGAGAGAGGACGCCAGTTCCTGTTGCGATATCCATTTTGGATCCGTCCGTTACGAAATACCCGGTCATCACTGAGAAAAATATTAAATTACCGGGCTCTTCTGTCGGGAAAATGGACATCAAAATTCCGACTGAAGTCAATTTCCGTGACCGGATAGTCACAGCTACTGTACTCCAACCCCACTCTGTCGAGGATTGCGACGTGTCCCTTGCAAGTTGTTCGCAGCTTGTTAGACACCTTAAATCGTAGAGTGATTTTGGCTGCGGTACTTTTAACGTATAGATCTACGGGTGGAATGTGAAAGAGTGTCTCCAGCGCCGCCTGGGGCGTTAAGTCAACCGCACCGGATAGGATTTGGTGTCAACCGCCTCCCACAACATCAGCGCGCCATAGGTGAAAAAAGGTCTAACAACAAACCCCTCCCCCAGCCTTTCCCAATCGTAGTTTTACAGGAGTAGAGTGAGTTAAGCGCCTTTTTCTCTGCACTTCAGTGTTGCTTTTCCAGGAATGTTTAGAGTCGAGAATAAGCGCAAAAAGCTTTGCCTCTTTTGACAATCTAAGATTTGCTCCATTGAGAAACGGAGTTTGAAATTTGTCAACCTTGTATCGCTTGGTGAAAAGAACAAGTTCGGCTTTGGGGGGGGGTTAACCCCTTAGACCGTTTCCCTCTGCCCATCCTGTCAGATTGTTAATTGCAGATTGTATAACATCGCTGACCATGGAGACGAATTGCCCCACGACCAGAATGACTAAGTCATTCGCATACGCAACGACCTTAGTGGCTTCGCACAAGGTTCCACAACAGGGGCGATAATCGGCCTTATCCTGAGTTTCGCGCGGAAAACATTCACTCGAAAATTTTTCATCCACCCATAATAGATACATGGAAACCAAAAGCGAAAATTGAAGCGGTTTGGAGAAAACGAAACTCATGATAAGGCTGAACAAAAATCTTTGAAACTTTTTTATCAACGGAATGGAAATAATGAGATTATTAGCGGTATTTTCAAGTCGGTCCAGCTTACATGAATCTTAAAAATTTTGCGGACATTTTCGATTATATAACGATTTATAATTGCGATGGAAAAATAGTACCGATTTTATTTAATTTTTTTGTATCGAGAGTGACGCATCCTAATGTATATACATACATATATACGTTGCTTTTATTTCACCAAAATACTTATTAAAAGATATCTCCCACTATATTTACGATGTTGTTTAAACTAATTTTATTTATACATTTACAAACGTCGAGTGAAACGAATTCATTAATAACGGTTTGTGATTACTTCTTGTGGTAAGTATTTGATTAGGGTGTATGCGTCAAGTTTAATATTTTTAATTGTTATATGTGACTTTATTGATTAAATCTTTTAAAGTGCCATTTATTTATACATATCTCTCCAGTTTCGATTGAGTTGAAAGCTCTCCATCTCTTTGCCTGCGTATTTTAAATCATCACTGCATATGTAAATACTATATACATATATGTATGTATGTATACTTAATAAGAAACCAAACTACAGTAATAATTTGCTAATCATTTTAGAGTGGAGATAACGTGACTATCTCGTATCTCCTTGATATTTGACTACAACAAGCAATAAGCAGCGCTGCAAACAGTTGCGTTCTAAAATTTAAACAGTGCAGATCGTAGTGAGAGCGATCGCGAGCGAACAGACTGCGTGCCTTTTTCTTAACGATCGACGGGGATTTGTGTTAAAACGCACAGACAATAACGTCCAGTCGCCTACACGCAAATTTTTCCACCAACAACTAACTATCAACCACAACTACAATAGCGTAATGGCTGCGCAACAGCTGTGGGGCGGCCGTTTCGGTGATGCTGAGGGTAAAACCAGTGAATGCTTGGCCAAATTGAATTGCAGTCTGCCGCTCGATTCCCGCTTCTACTCCGAAGATATCGACGGTAGCATAGCCTACGCCGAAGCGCTGGCAAGATCACGCCTAATTACTGATAAAGAGGCAGCCAACATTGGCGCCGCTTTGGAAGTAGTACGTCGCGAATGGAAAGATGGTAGCATCAAATTTCTACCCAGCGATGAGGATGTACACACAGTGAATGAACGTCGACTCACCGAGCTAATCGGTGATGTGGGCAAACGTTTGCATACTGGTCGCAGTCGCAATGATCAAGTGATCACCGATATGAAATTGTGGTTGCGCCGCGGCATACGAGAAACGTTGCATGGTTTGCGTGCGGTGATCGAGGCTGCAGTGCAGCAGGCGCAAAAGAATTTGGGTGCACTCATGCCGGGCTATACGCACTTGCAGCGCGCTCAGCCGGTGCAATTCTCACATTGGATGCTCTCGCATGCCTTCGCACTGCACGCGGACTGTCAGCGCTTGTTGGAGTTGAAAGAGCGCGCTAATTTGTTGCCCTTGGGTAGCGGCGCCTTGGCTGGCAATCCGTTGGGTGTTGATCGCGAGTGGCTGGCTAAGCGTTTGAATTTTGCCGGCGTGACGCCGAACAGCATGCACGCGGTCGGTGATCGTGATTTTGTGGGTAAGTGAAGGAAGGGTGGAAGGGTGGAAGGGAGGAAGGGGGAAAGGTGGATGGAGGTTGATATGTATATTTTGAAAATAATTTTTGGATTTCTGAAAGATTATTATTTGCTTTCAATTATGAGGTTGGCAAATAACTACATACATACATATGCACGTGTTAATGCAGTACGTAGAATTGAAGATTTGTTGTGAATGTTTTTTTATTAACATATGGACATACATATATATATGCAAAAGCGACAGAAGCGAGCTTATCTCGAGATAACCACAATAACATTTTTTAAATCTGCTACACCAACAACTAACAAAAGCGCTATTGTTTGTTGGATTCGAATTTCTAAAGTACATAAGAAATACCTCTATTTGCGATTTATGATCGCCTCAAAGTCTTTCGTAAGACAATTGCCAATTCTAGCAACTATTTTGAAAGCTCTTTTTTCCTTCGAAAGACTAACTGAAAGATCTGAAGATTCTTTTTGTCTCTTAGCAATATTTTTTCTGAAAATTACATTAAATCAAAGACATATATATACACACTAATTTTTTTAAACCATTAAAAACTAAAAGAACATTAAATTTAAAAACTTAACCAAAAAATCTAAACAAACTTTCTACGAATAAAATGAAAATAAACAAATAAATATTTCTTTTTAAAACGATAAAATCTAAAAACTAAATTAAAAAAGAAAAAATAAGTAAATAAAAAAAAATATGAATAAAGCAAGTTTCTGTGAACTAAATAAAGTTAAACAAAAAATTTAAAACAATAAAATCTTAAAATTAAAATAAAAATAAATTAATAAGAAATTAAAGTTTCTATAAGTTAATGAAATTAAAAGCCATCCTTTTTAAAACTAAAAATAAAAAAATATTAAAAATCAAGAAAAAGGGTAAAATAAGTTTCTAAATATAAAATTAATTTAAAAATATGTATATATTTTTATTTTTAAAATAATAAAAATGTCAAAATAATAAAAGCTGAATTATAAATTATATATAAATTAAAGAAATTTGTTTTTTGTTATTTATTGGCCATTTAACAATTATATTCAACAATTTTATAATGAGCTCGAGGCCATTTTTCTGCAAAACCTTATGTGTAAATTATTACCACTTGTGCTTAAATTAGCTGTCACGTCATCTGATAGCTTCTGTTAATACTTCATCTTCATCAGCAAAAGATAGACAGTTTTGTCATTAGCTTACTATAAGAGCAAGGCCGTATTTAGGGGGGTCCGATGTTTGTAAGTACCAGAACAAAAAGAGATAGACCCATGAAAATGTATACTTATATGATCAGAACGTCGAGCTGAGTTGATTTAGCCATGTCCGTCTGTCCGTCTGTCTGTCTGTCCGTCTGTTTGTATGCAGACTAGATTGCACACAGTTTTCGAGATATCCGGATCAAATTTGGTAGGTGGGTGTATTTTTATAATGTATTAATCATTTGTCGGAACCGGAAGAATCGGACAACTATAACATATAGCTCCCATACAACTGATTGTTCAGATATGAGATTTTTCGTTATAACTTCTCCATTTATGCAGCTACGAACATGAAATTTTGCAATACTTGCACCCATTATCAACAGAATACTTACAGTGAAAATTACAAAGATCGGGTCACTATAACCTATAGCTCCCATACAAACTGATTGTTCAGATATGGGATTTTACTGTAAAACTCCTTTATTTGAACAGCTAAAACCGA